GGACCAGCAGGGGAGCGATGGCCGCGGGGAAGCCCCAGCCCGTGCCGGGCTCGGGGGGGCCGCGCGAGCGGCGGCGGCTGCTGCTGCTGCGTGCCGAAGGATGCTCCGCGCCCGGCAGCTACCTGAGGTGAGCGCCGCGGGACTCGGGCGAGCGGCGCGGCGGCTGTCGGCGGCAGCGGCGCTGGAAGTCTCCAGTCCTGGCCGCCTTGTTTGCGTGCGGAGGTATATGGGAGTGGGCGGGGGGAGCGGATCGGGCCGGCCGGCCGACGGCTGGAAAAGAGCCTCGCGCGGGCAGCTGCGGGCCGCCGTCTCGGGGCCTCGCGGCAGCCCTCGATTTCAGTGGTAGCGCCCGTATGGAAGACAACAGACGCCTTAGAGCTCGCCTACTTTTTTACTCTTAGGGAGCCCGTTAGAAATTGTTGTTCGTTTCAAAGAGAACACATGCCTGTTAGAACAGCAAATATTTTCGCTACCGTATGTGCTGAGGAAAGCCGGTAAGTGCTGTCAGCAGGAGAAGTTACTGTATGAACTTGTAGCTTGGTAGGAGCAGCTGTTTTTCTGCATTTGACACCCAGTACCTTCTTGTGTGTTTATCAACAATTGCATGCCATGTGCAGCCTTTCATAGTGAAGACTGCTTTTCCATACTACTATGCCATGTTAAGAGGCGTACTCTAAGATCCTATTCTGTGAAGGTAAAATGTCTGTATAGAAATAAACATGTTATTGGCTCCCACTCAGATTCCTCAATTCTTTGGGTTTGGGAGCTTCCATCAATTAAATTCAGCCGGGTGTCTAATGAATTGAATTGGATCTTCCAGAGGAAATAAATAATTATGGGGTTTTAACTGTTTGCCCGACATTTATCTCGTTAATCACTTGTCCAGGCTTATTGTAGGAACTTGAGATGCCGCAGGATAGTATAAATGCATACAGATCACGTAGTTCAGGAGGTTACAGTATTTCAAACCTTCAGTTTTACAGTTAATTCTTTTCATTGGAAATAAACTGAGAAAATAGGAAAAAAACCCAGGAATTTAAAAAAAAAAAAAAAAGCGTTTAGGTCAAAGCAGTGCAGACATGTCAAAACTGATACTAGACCAGCACAATCTAGTCTTTACACGAGCCAAATAGAAAGACAGCTAACATATCCTTCAACACAATTTTTCAGACATCTCTCTGTAGCTTCTTTTGAAAAAAAATACAGTTACCTGCTTTGCGTTTAAAATAGTTCAGGACCAAGGTATGAATAAGTTCTGTCAGTAACTAGCTTATAATTCTGCTTATATGCTTTGGTTTCTTCCCTTTATCAGTATAATCCATGAGTAAACTGTAAGAGTGTTTATTTGCTATAATAGGTTTAAAACTTAAACTAACCCTTACCTTATTGGATTCAGAATTTGAAAGTGTTAACCTAGAACAAGAAGGATGTTAACATTCATATGAATGCTAACATTCACTAGCTCCATACAATTCACTTCTAAGTCTGATGTGGGACAAATGATAGTTCAAAGTGCATGCAAATGCTTAGTCCTAACCTAATGACTATTTTAAAATGCATTTGGTCACTTTAGTCTATGTTTTAACATGCCATTTGGAATACTGATGTACCAGTAATAAAGATGTGATGCTTACCTTGTTTTCTGAACGGAACTAATACAGTATTTTGATGTATCACAGGTAAATTTTTCCATAACCTTATGGAGAAAAAGGACTTTGAAGCATGGCTTGATAACATTTCTGTTACATTTCTTTCTCTGACGGACTTGCAGAAAAATGAAACTCTGGATCACCTGATTAGCTTGAGTGGAGCAGTCCAGCTCAGGCACCTCTCCAATAATCTAGAGATTCTCCTCAAGAGGGACTTCCTCAAACTTCTTCCATTGGAACTTAGTTTTTATCTGTTAAAATGGCTTGATCCTCAGACCTTACTCACATGTTGCCTCGTCTCTAAGCAGTGGAATAAGGTTATAAGTGCCTGTACAGAGGTGTGGCAGACTGCATGTAAGAATTTGGGTTGGCAAATAGATGACTCTGTTCAGGATCCTCTACACTGGAAGAAGGTTTACCTAAAGGCTATTCTAAGGATGAAGCAACTGAAGGACCACGAAGCCTTTGAGACATCCTCTTTAATTGGACACAGTGCCAGAGTATATGCACTTTACTATAAAGATGGACTTCTGTGTACAGGTAGGAAGGACAGAAAACTTGTGAGTCTTACAATTCTTTGTGTGTGCATGTGTGTGTCCCCACCCCACAATTAATGACAATTTGCTTTTCCTTTACCAGACATATTATTTTTGTAGTGCTAATGCAGTTTAAGATGATTCAAAATTACTTTTTTTTCAATTTCTGAAACACCTGGCACACTAATAAACTCATTAGTCACTTTAATAGGAAAACAGGGAGACCAATTTCTTTCTCGGTTAAAAAAACAGTAACAGCAAGTATCATGCTTCAGCTTAGTAAGCCCATTTGAGAAGTACAGATATGTTAATTATCCTCTTAAGAGGATAACTTCCAGTTAAAGGGACCTTGTTTGGGCTATGTGATCACTGCAGTCTCCCAGGGTGTGGCAGGAAAAGTCTGTCTTCTTCCTTGAAACGAGACAATTTCTCTGATACAGTTGGTAAGCACTTTCAGTTCTTAACATAAGTGCTTGTATGAAGACCTGTAAACTAGATTTACCCTTGCTATTAGTCTGACTTGCACATTGTAATGATAATTTCAGCTTCCTTCCTGAAGACTGCAGACTTAAAGATTTCAGTTTGAACTTAAAAATACATCCAGAACAAATATGAAACCTTAAGTATGAAAGAATAGTAACAAAGTTACAATAAACTGCTGTCGGAGCGTATTCCAAGGATTTCCCAATCATTTGAGACGACAATGCTATAGAATAAGTTGGGAATACTGGCTAAGTACTCCCATATTTGTTGGTATGTTAAGATGGTTACTAGAAATCAACTGGACTCTAGCCAGTCTTTCACTTCCCTACTCAGCAGGGAACGTAAATACACAGGAAGCAGCATTGTCAAAACTTTCTGAAAAGTCACACACTTTTGTGCTGAAACCACCAGGAGAAACAACAGGTGTAAGAGTCCGGGGTTTTATTCGGTTCTTCAAGGCCAGCAGTCTGGACTTACTGCTAAGAGTTTAAAAAAAAAAAAAAAAAAAAAAAAAAAAAAAGAAGAAACAACTTTGGGGAGAGAAACCTGAGAGTGATGTATCATGTAAAACATCCATGAGTCTGTTTCAATAGACACTGTCAATCAGAGGCAGTGCTGGAATCTATGGAAGGTGCTAAAAGGGTATGAGGAAACTTGAAGGCCTAGTAGCTTAATTAACATGAAAACAAGATGCTTTGCTGTAGTGCCGAGACTTAAAACTAGTGCTTATTCCCCATTCAAGCAGCTTGAAAGTACTATTTAATGAGAAAAAGTTCAACATGGGGAAATGCAAAGCCCTGCACCTGAGGAGGAACAACTTCATGGCACCAGTACATGCTGGGGGCCACCGAGCTGGAACGCAGCTTGGCAGAAAAGACCTGGGGGTCCTGGTGGACACCAAGTTGAACATGAGCCACCAACATGCCCTTGCTGCAAAGGTGGCTAATGGTATCCTGGGCTGCTTTAGGAGTGTTGCCAGTAGGTTGAGGGAGGTGATCCTTCCCCTCCACTCAGCAGTGGCGAGGCCACACCTGGAGTACTGTGTCCAGTTCTGGGCTCCTCAGTACAAGAGAGATGTGGACACACTGGAGAGTCCAGCGAAGGGCCATGAATATGATGAAGGGACTGGAGCATCTCTCATATGAGGAAAGGCTGAGAGACCTGGGACTTTTTATCCCAGAGAGGGCTCAGGGAGGATCTTATCAATGTATGTAAATATCTGAATTGAGGATGCAAAGAAGATGGAGCCAGGCTCTTCTCAGTGGTGCCCAGTGTCGGGACAAGAGGCAGTGGACACAAACTGAAACACAGGAGGTTCCCTCTAAAACACTTTTTCACTGTGAGAGTGATTGAGCACAGGTTGCCCAGCGAGATTGTAGAACGTCCATCCTTGGACATATTCAAAAGCCATCTGGTCATGGTCCTGAGCAAATGGCTCTAGGTGGTTCTGCTTGAGTAGGGGGGTTGGAAGAGTTGACCTCCAGAGTCCTTTCCAACCATAACCACTCTGTGGTTCCATGAAAATACTATATTTAAGACAAACATGGAAGATGAGTATAGGAGTGGAAATATTATTTACTCTTTGTTTCCAATTACCCTGTTCTTTTATATTCTAGGATCAGATGACTTGTCTGCAAAACTGTGGGATGTAAGCACAGGTCAGTGCATATATGGTATCCAGACACACACTTGTGCTGCAGTGAAGTTTGATGAACAAAAGCTTGTAACAGGATCTTTTGATAACACAGTAGCCTGTTGGGAATGGAGCTCTGGGGCAAAGACACAGCATTTTAGAGGACATACTGGGGCAGGTATGTTGAACTTTTCAATTTGTAATTTCACCAGTCAAGTAACATACATCATGATCAAACAAATTATAATTTAAGTTAGCTCTTTGCACAATAGCTTTTTCTTTTTTTAGGCCCTCTCCCACGTCACCTTTTGGGGTGGGGCGGAAACCAGCCAGAACAGATCTAGATGTGTCTGCCCTTGAATAATGCCAAAGCTTAGCCATGTAGTGTTTTGCAGTTG